TAATAAAGTACTTGGGTTCATACAAAGGAGTGTTAGTTACAAGACTAGCGAGGTCATCCTAAAACTGTATCTTGCTCTTGTGAGACCACACCTGGATTACGCAGTTCAGTTCTGGTCACCGTATTACAGAATGGATATAGAATCCTTGGAAAGAATTCAGAGGAGAATGACAAGACTAATCCCGGGCATTAGGAACCTTGAGTATAGAGACAGGTAAAAGCATCTTAATTTGCACTCCCTTGAGAGACGTAGAGCGAGGGGCGACCTGATAGAGGTGGAAGGCAGGGCTAAACAAAGGGGACATTACAAAGGTACTCAAATTATCCAACCAGGAGCGAACTCGTAACAATGGTTTTAAATTAGACAAATTTAGATTTAGGCGTGAAATAGGTAAACACTGGTTTGGAAACAGAGTAGTGGATGAATGGAACAAGTTACCAAATATCATCATTAACTCGAATACGCTGAATTGCTTCAAACATAGGTTGGATGCTCATATGAGCAATAGGGGTTGGGTGTAAACGGGACTGCCCACTATGGGCCAATAGGCCCGCTGCAGTTTCCTCCATTCTTATGTTCTTATGTAATTTCAAACTCAATTTGAAGCCACCTCGGGAAGCAAAATTTTATCAATAATTCCCAGCATGGCTTCCCAAGTGGGCATTCATGTCTGACAAATCTATTATCATTCTTTTTAACTGTTTTCGAAAACGTGGATGACGACAAGATTATGATGTGGTTTACCTCGACGGTAGCCAAGCCTTTGACAGGGTCCTCTACTAAGGACTAATGCGTAAAGTGGAGGCTCATGGAAATGGAGGAGATATTCTAAACTGGATTTGGAAGGTTTTACAGGACAAAAAGCAGAGAGTCAGCCTTAATGGCACGAATCCGATTGGGGTAACGTCACTAGTAGAGTACCCCAAGGCTCAGTTCTTGGACCATTACTATTTACCATGCACAAAACCGACATAGATATAAGAGTACACAGCAATATAGGTAAATTTGCTGACGACACTAAATGAGGACGCATAATTAATCTGACAGGACTCTGTAAAACTACAGGAAGATCTAAAAAAGTTTTTCTCATGGTCTGAAACATGGCAAATTTAATATGGACAAATGTAAAGTTCTTAGTCTAGGAGACGTAAGCAGAGAAACCAGATATCAGATGAACAATGGTGTTAAGAGAAATCTGACAGTGAGAAAGATTTAGGGATAGTGATGAGTAGGATTGTTAAACTAAAAACAAAAATGGGTATTTGCTCTAAAAAAAACAAAAAAAAAACAAGGCTAACAAAGTACTTGGGTTCATACAAAGGAGTGTTAGTTACAAGACAAGCGAGGTCATCCTAAAACTATATCTTACGCTTGTGAGACATTGCTTGGATTATGCAGTTCAGTGTTGGTCACCAAACTAGAGAATGGATATCAAATCCCTAGAAAGCATACAGAGAAGGATGTAACACTGGCATGAGTGAGTATTTCCCGCGAGGCGTGAGCCAATAGCAGTTACCTGTGACTGTGAATGCCTGAGGCCAAAACCAATAAAGAGAGCCGGGAGACGTGACGTCATGACCATGTACCGTCTTGTAAGCCATCTGTCTTAAGGAAAGAGTCTGTTGTGATGTACAGACGTGTGTGTGTGTGTGGCATCTTCTCCCAAGGCGACATATATATGAGCGAGTACTCATCAGGTTTTATCCTTTTCACGAAATGTATTGTGATTCCTGTGACCCCTGTTTGACAAGCTAGGGAGATAGGTTTATTGTTTTGATGTTCAATTGATGAACACTAATAGAAAGTATTCAATAAATACAGTAACCGTTACTCAGCATCCTAATTCATCACTCTCTTGTTGAGACAGGTTGATGTGTTATAAGTGTCTTGATGTTATGCATTGATGCAGTGACCCATTAGAAATAACATAACCTCGCTGTCCCCAGTTATTACCGGATACCCAACTATTCCAATTAACCTCCCTCCTTCTCCCTTCATATATAAAATTAAGGTTACCCTATAATGTGAGGGCGGCGAACCACAAACCTCCTTACCTCCCTCCTCCCTCTAGTCTCCCTCCGCCTCTCACCATCTCAAGAGGAAACAGAATAATGATCAAAGAAGGAATGATTATGCATGAGAGAAGAGAATTCGAGAGTGAAAGAAAGTAAAGAAATAAGAAATAAAACAATAAAAAGAAATAACAAACTCTATTGTTGTCACAAGGATGACAAGACTCATCCCGGGAATTAAGAACCTTCAGTATAGAGACAGATTAAAGCATCTTAATTTGCACTCCCTCGAGAGACGTAGAGTGAGGGGCGATATCATCGAGGTGTATAAATGCAGGTCAGGGCTAAGCAAATGAGATATAACAAAGATTCTCAAACTATTCAACCAGGAGCGAACTCGTAACAATAGTATTAAATTAGACAAATTTAAATTTAGGCCCCGAAATAGGTAAACACTGGCTTGGAAATAGAGAAGTGGATGAGTGGAACAAGTTACCATATATCATCATTAACTCGAATACGCTGGATAGCTTCAAACATAGGTTGGATGGATATATGAGCGATAGGGGTTGGGTGTAAACTGGGCTGCCCAGTATGGGCCAATGGGCCCGCTGCAGTTTCCTCCATTTTTATATTCTTATATTCTTAAAAATTTAATTAGGAAATCAATATTGGACGTGTGTGTGTGTGTGTGTGTGTGTGTGTGTGTGAATATCAGTTATAAAACAAGTCAAAGGAAAATATTTGTAAAATTTATTGTTTTTAAATAAATTTGTAACAACAATTTCAAAGTAAGAGTCATACTTTATCTACCTGGACACAGTGAGCTGACTCATATACTTTATCTACCTGGACACAGTGAGCTGACTCATATACTTTATCTACCTGGACACAGTGAGCTGACTCATATACTTTATCTACCTGGACACAGTGAGCTGAAATCGCATTATCTACCTGGGCACAGTGTTTGGCTCATATAGCTATCTACCTGGACACAGTAGGCAGCTCATATACTTTATCTACCTGGACACAGTGAGCTGACTCATATACTTTATCTACCTGGACACAGTGAGCTGACTCATATACTTTATCTACCTGGACACGGTGAGCTGACTCCTTATACATTATCTACCTGGACACAGTAATTGCTGACTCATATACTTTATCTACCTGGACACAGTGAGCTGACTCATAGCCTTTGTCTACCTGGACACAGTGAGCTGACTCATATATACTTTATCTACCTGGACACAGTGTGCGGGCTCATACATTACATCTACCTGGACACAGTGAGAGGCTGACTCATATACTTTATCTACCTGGATACGGTAGGTGACTCATATAATTTATCTACCTGGACACAGGCTGACTCATAATTATCTACCTGGACACAGTGAGCTGGCTCATATACTTTATCTACCTGGACACAGTGGTGACTCATATGCTTTATCTTTACCTGAACACAGTGAGCTGACTGATAATTTTATCTACACTGGACACAGTGAGCTGACTCATATACTTCTCCTACCTGAACACAGTGAGCTGACTCACTGCTCTTTTACCTACCTGGACACAGTGAGCTGACTCATATACTTTATCTACCCTGGACACAGTGAGCTGGCCTTATACTTTATCTACCTGGACACAGTGAACTGACTCATATAACTTTATCTACCTGGACACAGTGAGCTGACTCATATGCTTTATCTACCTGGACACAGTGAACTGACTCATATACTTTATCTACCTGGACACAGTGAACTGACTCGCCTACTTTATCTACCTGGACACAGTGTGCTGGCTCATATACTTTATCTACCTGGACACAGTGAACTGACTCATGGCGCCTACCTACCTGGACACAGTGAGGCTGGCTCATATACTTTATCTACCTGGACACAGTGTGCTGACTCATATACTTTATCTACGGACACAGTGAACTGACTCATGTACTTTACCTACCTGGACACAGTGAGCTGACTCATATACTTTATCTACCTGGACACAGTGAGCTGACGCATACTTTATCTGCCTGGACACAGTGATGAACTGACTCATAAGCATCTGCCTGGACACGGTAGGCTGGCTCATATACTTTATCTACCTGGACACAGTGAACTGGCTCGCCGCCGCCATCTACCTGGACACAGTGAACTGACTCACATATACTTTATCTACCTGGACACAGTGTGCTGGCTCATATACTTTATCTACCTGGACACAGTGGGCGGCTCATAGCCCTTTACCTACACGGACACGGTAGGCTGACTCATATACTTTATCTACCTGGACACAATAGGCTGACTCATATACTTTGTGGCTCATAAACTTTATCTTCCTGGACACAGTGAGCTGACTCATATACGTTATCTTCTTGGAAACAGTGAGCTGACTCATATACTTTATCTTCCTGGACACAGTGAGCTGACTCATATACTTTATCTTCCTGGACACAGTGAGCTGACTCATATACTTTATCTACCTGGACACAGTGAGTTGACTCATATACTTTATCTACCTGGACACAGTGAGCTGACTCATATACTTTATCTTCCTGGAACAGTGAGCTGACTCATATACTTTATCTTCCTGGACACAGTGAGCTGACATATATACTTTATCACCTGGACACAGTGAGCTGACTCATATACTTTATCTACCTGGACACAGTGAGCTGACTCATATACTTTATCTACCTGGACACAGTGAGCTGACTCATATACTTTATCTTCCTGGACACAGTGAGCTGACTCATATACTTTATCTACCTGGACACAGTGAACTGACTCATATACTTTATCTACCTGGACACAGTGAAGGAGATGGCTCGCTATCTGAACTACTTGGCGTGGCCCTGGCTGTTGGCCCTGCTTCTCGCTCACAGTTGCACAATATGGTAAGTATTTATGACTAGTTCTCTCTATTATTTCTATACTGTTATTTATACTTGTTAAGAACTGTCATGAGAATATCTACTTGATGTTATACGAGTGTCTTGGTAAATAAGATATTGTCATGTAGTAATATGAAGAAGACTCTGTTATCAGGGCTGGTGTCAGGAAAGTCTTCATAATATTTTGGAGAGTGGATAAATCTCTCCTCCGTCTTCATTCACAGGGAACTATGGAGGTGGTGGTGGTGGAGGCGATAGACAGATTGGACGCCCGCCTCATATTGACAATGGACAAGGTTTCATTGGTGGTGTTAATGCTCCTAGACCAGGCTCGGTAATAATAACAACTCACATACATTATCTTGTTATCAGTATTTATACCAAACAATTTGTTTGATAAGAACATGTTTTTATTTATGCAAAATATTTTCGCTTTAGAATTCTTTAATAATTATCGACTGCAAAGTGACATTCTGTGTTAGGTGAATACAATGTCACCGAATACGACCTTAACGCAACATATTGTAGACAAATCACTAAAAAAAAATGTTTATGGCAAATTTTATACATATGCAGTACACAGACACACACACACATATATATATATATATATATATATATATATATATATATATATATATATATATATATATATATATATATATATATATATATATATATATATATATATATATATATATATATATATATATATATATATATATATATATATATATATATATATATATATATATATATATATATATATATATATATATATATATATATATATATATATCATTAGCCCACAAAGCGTTACTCTGCTCACTTAAGTGGCACGGGCAGTCCCCTGGGAGGTTCACGGCGCCATAAGCTCGATGAACAGGCCTTGCGTGAAATATAACAAAGTCTAGGATTGCTTTTAGTGTCCTAGTGGTTTAGAGGTAGTGTTCCCGGTCACCCATATAAGATCGTGGGTTCGAGTCCTGGCGGGGTTAGGTTGTTGATTTTACACACATTTATTTATATATATATATATATATATATATATATATATATATATATATATATATATATATATATATATATATATATATATATATATATATATATATGCAAGTAAATCACTGTAGGTGTGCGTGATCTAGGTATATGCTGATAACCACAAGGAAAGAAGAAAACACGAAGTTCCTAAGCGCTTTCATGTAATTCACGTCTTCAGGGGTGAGTACAGACTAAGGAGAAGTGCAAAACAAGGTGTATATATACAGAGGAGGGTGAGATCAGGTCAACAATGGTCAGGTATTAGGTAATGACCCTAGTAATCTTTAAATAGCACCGAAACGGTCGGCAGTCAGTTCAGAGGGTAAGGTGACCCAACCTTTTCAACTGGTTACAAATCTTCTTAATTACAAAATTGTCCAGTTTGTACATGCCATTACTCAAATTCATGTTGAATGCTTCGGTATGTTTAATGAGACTAGATTCTATGATTTTCCTACTGTCAATTGAATTACAAGGTAATATTGAGGAGGCATTATCCCAGTCAATGCAATGCTTGTTATCCCTCAAATGAACAAACAGAGCATTGGATTCCTGGCCTGTCCTAACACTGTATTTATCTTGTTTAAGTCTAGTTACAAGATCTTTACCTGTCTGGCCTAAATAAAACATATTACATTCCTTACAAGGAACTTTATAAATGCAGCCACTTGTATTGTTGGGGGAGTTCTTGATTAACATTTGTTTAACAGTGCATGAGTTTATAAATGCCACAATGACGTTCCAGGCTTTTACTTGTAAAGGAATTTGAGAGAAATTTTTGTGAAATGGTAATACTAAGAGATTCTTCTGGTCATGGGTGGGCTTGGGATCGGTTCTATAAAAAGATTTCTTAGTAATGTTCAGGCATTTGTCTATGAAAGATCTAGGGTATTTAAGGTGTTGTATATGCATTTATGTCCAAGCCTTGTATTCCAAACTGTCCAGAAAGATTCACCAAAGCAATCCAAGCCCTTAAGAAAAATAAGCATCTACATGTCACTAAAGCAGATAAAGCCAACACAGTAGTGATTTTAAACAAAGATGATTATATCTCTAAAATGAATGACCTTTCGTGTGATGCTGCAACATATTCTAAACTCATAAATAATCCTCTCAACACTGTCAACACCCAGTTCAACAAAAAACTGAAGTCTCTATTGAGAGGCAAAGCTACTCTCATTAAACATCTTACTTCAACGTCCCCTCCACTGCCATACATGTGCGGTGTAATCAAGACCCACAAGCTTAATAACCCAGCAAGACCCATCATTAGCTCAGTTGGGTCAATCTCTTATAAACTATCTAAATGGTTAGTTTCTTTACTAAATTCCCTAGTTGGCAACATTTCTAACTCCAATATCAAGAATAATATGGATTTGGTTGATAAACTCAATAACTTACATATTAATTATGATTTTAAACTGGTCAGTTTTGATGTAACATCACTCTTTACAAAGGTCCCAGTTGATGATTTACTGGAGTTCCTCATAGATTCCCTGGATAATATTTCATTGCCCTTCTCGAAAGATGACTTCATTGAACTCATCAAAC